GGGGGGGGCAACGGGAGCATCACTGTGGGGTACCGAAACCGGGAGCTCCGGTTAAGGGTTAAGCCCGGGGAGAGCGAACATAAGGACCGAGGGGTCCGTCCCGGTAACGAGAAGCCGGTAAAGCAGGGCTTGCAAACGCTAAACGTGGACCTCTCGGTCCGCACGTCCAAACAGCGGTAAGTGCATAAGCTTGGGCTGCCCGGCGCATGCAGAACTTGCGTTCCCACCCACTGTTGCATCACTGAATGGGGTTAATGGGAGGTGGATGGCGCAAGGAATCACAGAATGGCTTTGGCTTGGAAAGTAGACCAAGTTGCACCAAGCCCCGTCCAACCTGGGCTTGAACACTTGCACTGATTGAGTTGTAGGTTGTGCTAGTGGCCGGTTTTACATAGCATGGGGAAAGAAACTATATTTTGAGACTGCGTTTTGGTGAGAGAGAGGTAGTCGTAGACACACACACATACGCACACACACACACGTACCCAGGAACAGTGTTTTGCTTGCCCTAGAGCCAGGGCTGGAGGAGAAGTGGCAGCAGTTAGAGGGGAAAATCAGCAGCAGAGGGAGTTGAAGGGCAGGATGAGAAGTTGAGGTGATGCTTAGCCCTGGATCAAACAGCACTGATCTTACCAGTATCGATGAAGCCAAGGATGCAGAGAGTGATGGAAACGTTAATGTTCCGAATGTGGAATTCCTGCCTCAGGGAGCTGAAAAATCCATCCAAGGCAAACTTAGTTGCAGAGTAGGGGACCGTAAAAGGAAACCCGACTTTACCTGGACACAGAGTGAAGGTCTGTTATAGCACAGAAAGCTGCTCTGCCTGGACCTTTCCTTTGTCCTTCATCAGATAAACTCCCTTTTGGGTGAAATCACAGAATCCCAGCCTGGTTTGTGTTGGAAGGGACTTCAAAGCTCCTCCAGTTCCAACCCTCTGCCACAGGCGGGGGCAATCTTCCCACAAGCAAGGTTGACCAAAAGGTTGCTCCAAGCCCCTGTGTCCAACCTGGCCTTGAACACTGCCAGGGATGGGGCAGCCACAGCTTCTCTGGGCACCCTGTGCCAGCACCTCAGCACCCTCAGAGGGAAGAACTTCTGCCTAAGAGCTCATCCATCCCCCTTGTCCTGTCCCTACAGGCCCTTGTCCAAAGCCCCTCTCCAGGTTTCTTTAGGCACTGGAGCTACTCTAAGGTCTTAAGGTCAAGGCCAAGGCTCATGTCTCTGCTCAGGGTATGAGCAACCCGCAGTAACTATGAAACCCTCAGAGGGGAGAGATGGAGCAAAGTTTAAACTCCTCTCTGGATCCTGAGCTGATCAACAGAAGACAAATCAACATACGGGCTGGGAGGGGGACATCTGTTAGTAATTTAGTTTCCTGACTTAACAGAAAATTATTAAAGAGAGTCATGTTTTTGTGAATAGAGTCGGTCAACAACTCCCTCCACAAATATTAGCAGGAACTTGACCTACCAAACCAGATGGACAGTCAGAGAACTGATGCAGTGAGAAATTGCTGCGTTTCCACTTTCCTCCCCCAAAACTGAGCGTGTTTGAGCTCTGCTGCTCTAATGACCCTGACACCAGGGTGTGGGATTTAATTATAAGGCTTGTCAAAAAGCACTCTGGGGTGATTGGATTATACAGGAGAACAAATTCCATTGAGAAATGCAAAATAGATACGGGTTTTGGGTTGTGTGTGGGGGGGTTTGGGTGTGTTAAGCAGTTACAGCTCCTTTAGGACACCTGGGTCTCTGCATGCTACTTGTGAAAATCAGCCCACAGTGTCCTTTGACTGAATTCTATGTCACCTACCTCACTCCCTGCTCACCTGCCATGGATGAAACCACTACGATGCTGCCCTCACTCTCCTTCAGCATGGGCAGGGCTGACACGGTCATTGCCACGTAACTGAGGAAGTTGATCTCCAGGAGCTTTCGGACGTGCCCAACGTCTCCATCGAAAAAACCGAAGTATGATGTGCCAACGTGGTTAAGAATCAGCATGTCCAGGCCTCCTGTGAGCAGAGGAGCAGGCGTGAGTGCTGGGTGGCAGAGAGCTACAACCATAAATCAGAGCTTTTCCTGGGAGCAGAGTGAATGTAATCAAAAGAAATCAGGTTTTGGGGTCAGAGCTGTGGCCCGTCATCGCTAGAGTAGGAGTTTAGCCCAGATGGTGGCTGCTAGTAAGTATTTTATTGTGATTTGAGGTTTTGTTGGTTCAATACACGAGTACTGTGGAGCGAGGGAGGTCACCCTTGAGGTGTCTGTGGGGCTGGGGAGGAAGAGTGCTCCACACAGAGCTGAAATACTGTGTTTCCACAACCATGACCCATGACCGCAATAGCAGGGTTGCTGTGGGCCTGTTGGTTTCAGAACCCAGTAGCTGGGGGTGATGAAATCCAGGATTGTGATACTGGAACAGGATGTCACGAGGGCACCGAGCTGAAATTGAGAGCGCAGTTCAGTTTGAGTGATGAAGCCAGGTCTGAAAAGGGCAGAATTAGGGGGAAAAACTCCCTCCTGTCTCAACCCATCTCCATCTGGCCTGCTTTTTTTAGCAGGCACATGACAAAGCCACATGTCCAAGGCGAGATGCAGTGTTCCACTGTCACTGAACATACCCAGCAAGGTCTGTGCCTCCTTCACCACGTGCTCGGCAAAGGCCATGTCCTCCATGGTGCCACTGATGTACTGTGCTGAGGCTGCTCCCAGCTCCCGGCACCGCTCCACGACCTGCCACACCAACAGCACGCGTCAGAAACCCCCGCCCTGCCCTGGGGAGCCTGGTGTGGTAGCAAAAGAGGGTGTCTGTGTTCCCTGGGCTGTGGTTTGGAGTTTTGGGAGTATGTTTGGAGCTTCAAGGGGAACCCGAAAAGGATTCCTCTGGTGAATGTGTTACCCAAGGCAGTCTGGCTCTTTATGGGTGCTGGAATTGCATGTGTGTAGGGTGAGCAGGAGCTTGTATATCACTGCCATGGAATGAGGGTGTGTGTGTGCTGAGAGAGCCTGTGTGTATGGGGCTATGTGTACATAACTAATCAAGTTCAAATATCATAGTATGTGCTATGCAGAGTGCATGTATCTGCAAGAGAGGGATTACTATGCAGTCAGGAACCCCAGGCAGCACCAGTATGTGTAGCCACGAATGTGACCGTGCCTATCTGGCGTTTGTGCCCTGGCAATTACATGTGCATATGTTCATGTGTGTACCTGTGATGTGAGACTGGCCTTCACATGTTTGTGTGTGCACTGCCATGAACATGTGTGTGTGAGTGCTCAGCTTGCCATTTACTTTCTGTAGCTTGGTCTCTGTCCGTGCTGTGATCAGAATGTGGGATCCCATCCGTGCCAGGTGATATGCCATCTCCTCTCCAATTCCAGTGCTCGCTCCGGTGACAATCACCCGCTTCCCTTTCAACATCTCTGGGGACCAAGGCACAGGGATTTAACTTATCCAAATGCTATTTAGGAAAGAGATATAATAAAACCTCCCCTAAGACCTTTCAGAGTAAGTAAACTGGAAACTCTGTGAGCAAGTGCAAAGGGTCCAGCACCAGGACATCTCTTTCATCTGCTGGAAGAGGGAGCTCCTCACTGACTGCAGTGACATGGGGACAGCGCTCGACTCCTTCAGCAGCTTTTCCACAAGTTAGGACACAACTTACCACCACCCTGACTATTTTGTAGTGAAAATCACCCACAAAGTGCATGCTTCAGAACTGAAAATCCAGCATTTAAAAGTCACGGTTGTAAATTCTTTTGCTACGCAATGGAAAATTGAGTGTCCAGAGCCCTCTTCTCATAGCCGCTGCCTCACCTGCTCCCTCAGGAGGCATTTCTACATATTACTTGCTCATCTTGATTTAATATCTTTGTTAAAACAACTTGCCAGTATCAGCCACCACACAAAGGCTCAGACGTGGGTTGATCCGAGCTCTGTTACAGTTTCTATGCAAAACACTCAAATGTGGCTTTAAACAGTTTTCCTTAAAGACAGATTCACTTTTAATACTTACCCGGTTTGAAATTCTCCCTCGCAGAATAAAACCAGAAGGCCAAAACCAGTCCCAAAAAGGGAATGAGAATCTTTTGCAACCGACCCATCCCACTGTGGAGCCAGGAAATAAAGCATGAGAGAGAAAGGAGGGAAAAAAATCCCTCTGCAGAGCTGCTCCAAAGAGAAACAGCGATGCCAATCCTTTAAAACCTGTTAGTGAAGGAACTGCGGCTTCCAAAGCACTGGAAAATCACGGGTGGCTGGATGAGTGAAGCAAACCCTTTGATTTAGCTGGCAGAGCCTCGGCCTACCCGGCAGTGCCGTTTGGGTTCTGCCGGGCTCTTTTCATATTTCCTGTCCTCCGTTAAAATGCCGAATTTTGCACAACACCCTGAAGAGGTGTGTCTTTGCTGAGCAGCATCAAGTTTCACTTGGAGAACATCAGAGGCAGCCCCAGTGCAGGTGGTTAAACATCGCCTTTCATTTCCTGCTGGCATCTCATCTGGGCTCATGGGAGATGCAAGTCAGGCGCCGGGGGCTGCTGTGCTGCTGGGGGACGTGCAGCAAAGGTTCTGGGCTGTGATCGCAGCTTGGTTTGGGTTGGGAAGATCCTTAAGATCATCCAGCTCCAATCCTCTGCCACGGGCAGGGACACCTTCCACTAGAGCAG